CAGTAATCTCTCTGCACTGAAATACAAGAACACCGGTCCGGCCGTTTTTACAGAATAAGGGATATAATTTGAATTAAAGTCCATCTGGTTACATATACATAATATACATAATATACATATATCACATATATATTGCTAATTTCGCAGTTCATTCGAGAACGATGTATCACATTATTATATCAGACGCACGTATTATCTCGGAAAATTGCAATTAACATACAAAACCAATATTTCAAAATGATAACAAAGGGGGTAATGCCTGCAGATCTGTCACGAAAGATATATTTATGCTTTTTGCAACAATTATAAAAAAAATTGTATTTTCCCACTAAATGCTCTGAATATTATCGAGTCTTACTAAACTACTTCCTATAAGTTGGTCGGCAGTGCTTTTATGCATGTTAGAGTATTTTCAAAAAAATTTTAAAGCAGCACTTAACACTTAACGGTCACCGTTATTATAAGTAACTTGACACCGTCCTATGTTTGCGGATATACAAACAATTTATGCCCAAAGGCTAAAATAAAACGAAGCACGTTGCCCATGGGATTCGGTGTTCAAATGGGATTCGCAGACTTAAGCAATACAATATATAATATAGAAACACTTTCTTGAAATACGTTACTTAATCACACGCAACCCAATACACTCGAATGCTATATTTGAATACATATATATAACGTATATAACGTAAATAGACCATGCACCTTTTGCTTTTAAGGAAAAAATCCTTCAATTAATCATGCAACCTCGCAAAAATTGTTTTTAAAGGCTTGCCCCTTGAAAGCGAATTACACCCAAACAGCCATAATGACATATTTTTAAGCACTACACATTTCATCTTAAATTAATATAAAATGTAATATAATAGTCGACTAACCTTTGGTACTTTGGAGAAAGAAACATAAACAAGTTGATTTTTTTGTTGCATATAACAGACTTAAAAAAACTATTCGAAGTGGAGTGTATACTTCTTCTTTTAATCTATACAGACGACGAAATTGAATAACTGGCAGTAATTAGGTGAGACATGCAAGAGGTTATCAATTATGCAATAAATATATGCATGGCGTTTAGTCGCCACCGCCAAGTGGGCACGTGCGGTTTTGTTTGTATATCTTATCAGATTAAGTGCGTAATCTGCTGAAATATCTAAAAGCTTGTGTGATGCAACAAAACAATCCCATGGCCGGATCCAAGTCAATGAGATCCTATACACTCCCGGTTGCTTGCAATGTTTTTGTTCACGTTTCTCACTTTCACCCTTATCATTTAGTTTCTCTATACAAGGCGTCGCTAAAAGGAGTAACCACTTTAGAAACAGGTTTTTAAAAGAATTTAAAAAAACATTATTATATGCTCAACAACGAGTTCGTACATAAAATTGAGAAATGAGATTAAGCATAGGGAAGCATGGAAATTGGAAGAAAAGTGTGGTTTCAAAGGGGGCGAGGTACTTCCTTAGAGAACAATCTGCATGCAAATGTGCAGAGGTAAACAAAACATTTACCTCAACAAACATTTACCCGTTATTATTATTTTAAACTTCTTTAAAAACTGTAGCCCTTCATTAAAGATGATTTTCAGGTGGCCGTTTGCATGCAAAATATAAAAAGAATTAATGTACATGAAAATTACCTAACTATATAACTACAATGTATACGAATAATTAACAATGAATAATTAATATATCTGGCTATTGAGAATATTTTTTAAACTGACCAATAATTATATATAGTCCTTCAGTTTTTACAACATTTGGCAAATTATTCCACAGCATCGCTCCAAAATAATTATGCTCTTTTTCATGAAATTAGTTTAGGCTTCGGAACTAGTTTTAGGATCGGCTTCCAGCCTAATTCATTAAATATATCGCTTGATCTTATTTCACCCGTTATGACTACAGCCCTAGCTAGCTGTTATGCATTCTTTGTAACTTTTCAATCAAATAATTACAGGAATTATCCCATGCAAATAAAACTATAGTCGAAACGGGGTAAAATTATAGCATTATACAAAGTATACTCATTGGCGTATAAGCTTTTAAACGTCTTATATAACACCACCCTTTAGAAATCTAGGAAACAATTGCATCTATATGATTTTTCCACAAAAGTTGATCATCAACGACAATCCCTAATGTTTTTATCTCATTGACTCTATTAATTTCTGAGTTGCTCAATCAATCTTATTGATGGGTCAATATCCATTTTACATAAGCGCGATGCCGGGAGCCTATATATTATCATATATTCATTTTTCCGTATTAAGAGCTAATTTATTTGCTATAGCAGCCACCTATGCACCCTTTTCAAGTCTTGATTTAATTGATTTTGAACAGATTCTGTTAAATTACTACAATATTCGCATCGTCTGCGAACATCGATGCATTTGAATATGTTAGACAGTTTAGAAGGTCACTTATGTAGAAAAAAGCAACGGACCAAGATTTGAGCCTTGCGGAACACCACATCGAATAGCTGAAGGAGGTGACAAAGATCGACCAATTTTACACAATCATCCGGATTCTGTTTGAAAGATAAGATGTAAACCAGTCTAATGTAGTATCAATCAACCACAAAGAGCCAGTTTTTTCAAAATAGAATGATCTACACAGTCAAATGCTATTTTCCAAATTCTCTGAGAGTCGATTAGTTGTTTTTTTTTAAATTTTTTGCGATAGATGTTAGAACAGATATACAGGTCAGCCTGTAGGTACCACAGTCGAAGCGTTCGTTAAGTTAATCGGTAAGAGTTCCGAGAAAGACGTCGCGTGGTTTAATCAATAAAGGTTCATGTAAATATTGGTCATCAATTAACGTTCAACTAAACAGCGCGATCGACATATTTTCTAATGTGAAAAAAGTTTACTATACCTAGCTATATATTCTATAATTTAGAACAATATACCTAAATAACAAAATAAAAAACTCTTTATTTCATCTTTACATTCGAGCAGTATACGCTTCTGCTAAATTCAGCTCCTGTTAACACAACGAATTTTTGCATCGTTTTTGAACCATTGTTACGTTTTTCTTTATATACATATATTATTTCATATAGCTGCCGAGAAAAGGAAATGCCAAATAGTTTCTTGAACAGTACCGGTACGCAAATAGCATGCAGGAGGGTAGGGCAGGGAAAAATAAACATATATTGATGAATCATTGTAGAAATAGTTCGAATAAAAATAGCAAAGGTATAGCTTTCGAGCACGGAGAAATATGAATTCGTTAATGTGGTTATAAGTTAACGTTTAATTGGTTATATACACAGCACTAAAGTACTTCCAGTACTAAAGGAATTAACGTCTGCAAATATGGTTCACTTGCATGGGTTTGAGAGAAAATTTCATTTATATATGAAATTTATAGGCCTATACGCCACTTTATTTCTTTGCATTGCATGTTTGCAAGAACGTAACGTTTTCCTGTGAAACTACTAGATCTGAAAGTTTGAAGAAATTCTAAAGTAGAGCGGCTAAGAAAATAGTGATTTAAATAAGTATAGTTCGTGGCTACGAGAACGCTATTACAGAATTTAAGGAACCACTGTATTCATATATTTTTCAGCCTGCCCATGAACGGTTTGTGATGGCGTTGTTAATTCTGCATGAATGTACTATAATTTTATATTGAATATTCTGGTATAAAATGAAATGGCGATGTGTTATAAATAAGCCTCTCTTGAACTCGCCCATGGAAACATTCCTCCATCTACATCGTTAGAATGAACTACCAATAGCGTGATTAAATTAACTTTGGTATTTAACTTGCAGTGTTTCTAGCATTCCAACAGTTGTACGTTAGAGTCATATGAAAGTATATGAGCATCTCTGTTTCACAAAAGTATTAAATCTTTATAACGTATAAACAGTCAATCGATTCCATAATGAATTTTTAGCAATAGCGATGTGCTATAAGCTTCTCAGTTTTAGTTTTGCATCTCTCCTATGCAAATTACAACATCATGCATTAATTATTTAGTGCAGGCATGGGTAAATGCACCAAATCTACGACGCGGACGTAAACTGTATTTACAGACTCCTTAATTGGGTGCAACTCCTTAATTACTAATAAACAAAATCAGAGCCATGCATGTGCATGTACAACAAATTAAACTTGGGTTCCTGAGACTAGCAGCTGTTTTCGTCTCACCTCCGCATGCGTGCACGTGCATGGTAGATTTAGTGCATCATGCATAAACTCGCTATATTATTACACCATAACGGCACGCGACTCGTGTTTAATTCTTAATATGATTTAGTTTATAGCTGACACTGTCTCACAACAAGCCTAGCTCTTACGGATTTAGGGAGATGTATACTTATTCCATCGACACGAAGACCATGAACAACCACTTCACTTTTGTGGAAAATGTTGGATGTCCATTCATTTTTACTTCGCAAAGCACGCAATCACAAACACGTCTCATGGCTATAGTTTTTGTCCACTATATTTATAAATCAACTACAACACATCAAATATATCATGACGAATATGATATCCGCGCTAATTACATTTACAGTCAATAACGAAATTACTTTCGCCCGTTCAGTGAATTTCGTAAAACCATGAATTCTTTCTGAAATTCCAATGCACTGAAAAACCTGGTTAAACTATATATCATGTAAGTCGTTAATCAATTTGTAAAAAGATAATAAGGACCAGGCTTGCTTTTGTAACCTTGGATGCAACTTAACAACAACTTTAAGAAGCAATCCTATTACAACAATTTCAACAAATTTATACATAAAACAAAAGTATTGAAACGACTTGATCATACTATTGTTCGACGGTTCACAACCTTCAGTGTGGTTGTCAAAATTGTTGTCAAAGTTTAATATCCATGCATGCACTTATATGTATATATCTAGCATTTCAAAAAGCAATTCATGAATGTCACACGGAATATATCAACGACTGGTATAATATATAATATAGAGATTTCGTATAGTAAAACAATGATTCAAAGAAAATATATAGTTAGACGTCCATACCGGCAGTGCCATGCAGTTTATTTAAGATCTTCCTTAATGTTCGTTTCGCTGTTTCTTGAATTCAGGAAATCGTAGTGCGTCCAAGACTTGTCTTCAACCGCGTGTTGGAGAGATGGTCCGTCTCTGAAATGATCACAAAACTGTATCAACATAATAATCAATAGTTATGTGCATGTTGTGCATGGCGAATTGTGCTGCCTTTATACTATAGTTCTGTCGAGAACAATAAATGATCATATCAATATATTCCCATATAGGTTAATCTTTTTTGACATGACTAAGCAATGACCCGCCTAGTATTAATGCATGACCACAATCACGTTAAGTTTTCATATCTTTCGTTAACATTCATATCTATGCTTCAAATCCAAGACGCAAAGGGTGAAAAATATCTCCGTAAATATACACGCGATATTACCTGATTAGAAATTTAGAACAAATCCCTGCTAATTATGTACTAGTCGATACCTGCGACCAACTCTGATTATGTGTAATAATAAATAATCTGTCGCATATTTGAAAAATTCTTTGGTGTTATGTTTCAATTTTTTACATAACGATACTTTGTATCAAGACTTGCAAGTCATTTTGTTAAACATTCTTTTCTAGAAAGAAAGAACCCCCTGTTGATTTCTTTCAACTCGACTCAGCCCTCTATATATGGCTGATGATACCGCGGATTTTATTCCAGCCATGAGCCCACTATACGAGCCTGGGACTGTGGCACAGACACCAAGCCATGAACTTATGCCTGCAGAAGCAATTCGACGCGAGGCTTAGCCCAGATAATCACAGTGACTTATTTCTGAAAAGTTTAGTTTCCCAGGCTACACCCTTATCACAGGCAAACACTAGGCGTGGACCGGCACGTATAGTATAAAAATACCTATGGTTTTCGAGTGCGCACTGCGGTTTTTTGCCTGTTTGTATATGCATGTAACCGCGGTGATCAAGTAAGTATTGAAGCTGCGTAGATCAACGCGCACTTCTAGAATATCTGTCCATAAACACCATAATTTAGGGGGTTTTCCGGCAATTTTTTTCAATAACGTAGATAGCAAACCAAGCCATATATGTAATTTTGCGGGATTATACATGACGATTTAACGCGGCGTAAAGAAGAAAGAATAGAGTAGATGCTTTTCGAAAAGCAACAGGTATGAAATAATTCAAATCACATGGTTTTTTTCTATTTAGGCGATCCGTCGCTCGCTCTTTTTCGTTGGTGTAAAAAAATTAAACAAACCCTAGCAAGCATGCACGGTTCTTTATCACTTCTCCACCCCTGTCCAAAATGCGGGGGCGACGTTCATGGGCTTATACCAAACATGTAAACTACAGCCGACGCACGTAGTATTTTCCGCATTGTGTGGCCTTTGCGAGCGGAGAGGGCTACTTGGATGTTGCAAACGTATGCAACTGATTATATAAAAGATGATGTCCCAGTGTTAGGAATCTTAACAATGTATAGAAAACGATGTTGATTGTTATTCCATTTAATTTTGCTACCAGCTCAAAATTGCCCAAGAACCAAATCATATAGTATACTATATACGAGCAATAAATGATGACAATAAATGCGAAAAGTGGTTAGCAACTTATTATTTATTTAAAAATATTTAAAATGACCAGGGAACAGCTTAGCAGCGTCGTCGAATAAGTTAACGACATACAACAACTCTTCTGACCTATATAGGTCATTAAGCCTTTTTGAAATGTCAAGAAGTCTAAGTTGGGCAGTTGCCTAACCACAGTCATGCATGGGAATATTTTGACAGAATAAAAAGTATAATGCGGTTATCGATGTGCCATAGTTAAGCCTCTTTTTCACTCATCACGAAGACCAACATGGAAGTTCGCTGCAAATACAGTGTCTTTCTTGAGGGAGGCAGGGGTATATTTGCGAGACTCAGGATTTCCCATTTGTGCGCACCGTGATTCGTTATACCTAAGCCATTATGCATGTGAATCAAATACTAGCTACATCGTTTAATTCAAAACATGTGCTGAATGCAAATCTTTACGAGTTCAGCGTATATACAATTGCCAAATATATAGCAAACTACCATTGAATTTTCCTCCTTTAGCTACATTTAATATTCATTTGTAAGGATTCTTCAAGAGGTTCAATCTTTTTGTTTAGCAACGTTTCGAACAGTTTTAGACAATCTTCAGCTACAACAGATACAACGTCAACAATCCTAACATTTATATAAACGTTGTAGCCTGACGGTGGTACGCTCCTCGGTGAGTTCGGGAAACTTCAAGCGATCTCTATAGTATAGGGGAGGAAATCCCAGAAACATCTCCATGCAATTATGTAGTATGTAGTATGTTACGGTAGTAGTAGTCTGGGAATTTACAACCAATATATACTGTTGTAATTACAATATATTGTTCTAATATAACTCTCCTGACCTTCACTAACTCTCCTGACGAAAGCCCACAGGTCGAAACGTCGAGAAGTGTTCTTGTCTATTTTAGACAGTTATACCACATTTGATGCTAAAGTTACGGTATATTGAATTTTAGAATAGACCGTAATTTATTCTGCCTAAGACTTGATCCATCACCGTGTTATACATTGCTGTTAGACTTTCGAGACCAGAAAAAATGCATGTGCGAATTAGAATAATTGTATAAGAATATTGTGTATTAACATATATAAGGCACTTTTTTATGGTCATTCGAAGATCGGCCTGTCTAGAAAATATATTTATCTACTTAACTCCCGCCAAACACATCTAGATCTACCTTAATTAATCGTTGGACTCTACAGACAATACACAGTACATATATATTCAAGCGCGAACAAAATCTCAGGAAAACTAACATAGCATGAGCAATTACTGCAGAAGCCTAGTACAAAATTTAAAGACATGCACATAAACGTGACGTACAATATACATGATATCAATTGAGATTGCAAAGTAATCTGCGTCAAACAGTATGTAGATTTCATCGATCAAAGAAGGAATGCTAATAATTTCGGTGTAAATTAAGCGATTAATTTGCGAAGTGCTGTTTTATAACTTCAGTGCATGGGTGTTATTTGAACTACACTGGCACTGTAAATTTAACCCGAATATGGTGTTAAATTTCATAATAACAACAAATAGAGATTTAGTTTGAAAACAACAAAACTATTTCATCAGAAACGGCGTTCAAAAACAGGTAAGACGGATTCTGTTGCAACTAGCAAATCTGATTAAGCACATTGTTGTGCTTTATAATCCGTTGTAACCTTCATATACGCGACCCTTTTCCATGCCTGTATAGTGTCCAAATAAAATACTTTTAGCGATGCGGGAAAGTAAACGTTATACAGACTTGGTTTTGAAAAAAATCCGGTTTTAAGACTTCGTTCCGCTTTTGTGTTTCCAAATAGCTTGAGCTGCATGTTCGATGTAAAGATAATCTTCCTGATTTGTCATAGCGCGACCCCCCTCACCCACTTTATCAATCAAAATGCTTCTTAGCTGATTTTAATCATCGCATGCAGTGAGCCAAAAAAATTGGTTTCTGCGATGAGCTGCTATGGACGTTATATTTATGCATGCAACAACTCCAGACAATATATTTACTCTGAATTCCCGGATCGTCATGCTTATGCCTGGTTTCCATAAAGTCGTAAGTGTCGGGAACATGTTAAGGAGGCTGATGTGATAAAATATTTCTATTTGTGTGCAGTCAGCAATGACTGGTTTGAATACGGAAAGACAAATTCACAACCGGCCTATTTCTCATCGGGAAAAAGACTCGTTCACGACAATTACGATTTAATGGAAACCAGGCTTAAACCATGGGTGTACATATAAGCCTAAAAGACGAGGGCCTTGGCGAGAAATCATGAACGCAAACAAATTCGGGTTAAAGCTTGGGGTACTTTTTTGGGACACCCTGTATTGTATATATATTACTGTATTATAAATAAATATCATAAAACGCCATATACGATCAGTCAAAAACCTGGACTAGCCAGTAACTGTTACATCTCATATATGTAGCGTAACTTTCCCAGGCGTTTTTATTTTATGTGCAGTTTGGGGGTTTCTTCCTTGAGGAGAAGGGTGCGGGAATTCTCCCTATATATACAAGCTAAGAAACGCTTTGCATGAGGTTGGTGTCAGTCGGTGCCAGAGGCAAATATAGAGCATATAATTAATTTACGCTAATTATAAAAGCCAACACAGTATAGATTGTGTACATGTAAATCAAATCACAAACCCCTTTTATCAAAATATCGTAATCTTAAAACCATAAAGTTTTGAGTTATTTAATGAATTATATACCCTCCAAACCATGCATGAATTAAGACGTTTGATACCGGAATTTGTATTTTAGAGCAGTACTTTTTCTTGAACCTATTTTGTTATTGCAGAAAGGCGTAGTCAGGGCAGGGGCTAGGGAGTTCAGGTAAAATTTTGAAACCTAATGAAGAAAATAATTTCAATTCATTCATTCGTTGGAAAAAAAATCAGAGTAGAAAAATAGTTGGGTTACCACACAATAATTTACCTGCGCAGTGAGTCTTCAGAATGAGCTATTCTTCCAACATTCTCCAGACCTGGCTCCTCAAGTAAATCAGCTTCAACTATTGGTGGAAATGCAACTACAACATCGTACCATACGGGCTTATCCTTAAGAACACCCGATTTCAACAGGTCTTTCACCCTAGAAATACAAAGAACTGTTATAAGGAATACTTTCACCTCGAAAAGGTTAAATTTATAACTTAAAAATGTTCGCTAATTATTGGAAGTGAACTTTTCATATGTTCGTATACAGCGAATGAAGTGTAATATAAAACTTCACAATAATACCCTTTACAACCAGGGGCCGGTTGTATAAAACTATTTAACTACATTTTGCATAGTTTAATCCTAGTTAACTCTGATTGCTCAATTCTGTCTTCAACGATATAGTTAAAAGTTAGCTAATATTTTATACAACTGGCCCCAGCACTGCCCGAATATAGCAGCGGTCCAGTACGTATCTACGGAGTGGCGTAGCCAGAACGATATTTGGGGGGCGGTACATATTCATATATTTGTGATACACAGGATTAATTTCTTTTCAAATCAATTTTTTTACAGTCTGTTAACAGGAGTATATGAATATGGCTGTATCTATACGTAATATGATCGAGTTTCGTGTTAGGCTTTTTGTAAAAATAGTAAACAGTGTTTATGATTAATTCTTTAAAAATCAATTTCTATAGTTCATCGCGTTTTTAGTTATCATCAACCGATACCAACGCTTGTTCGTATAGGTAGGTAGCAACCCTAACGTTTAGAACAATGCTCAGGAATCGCAAAGGTGTAGGCTTCCTAGAAAAATCACTAGCGGAGAGATCACGAGGAGAAGAATCACTAGCGGAGAGATCACGAGGAGAAGAATCACTAGCGGAGAGATCACGAGGAGTCTTGTAGAATCACTAGCGAAGAGATCACGAGGAGAAGAATCACTAGCGAAGAGATCACGAGGAGAAGAATCACTAGCGGAGAGATCACGAAAAGAATCACTAGCGGTGAGATCACAAAAAGAATCACTAGCGGAGAGAGCACGAAAAGAATCACTAGCGGAGAGATCACGAAAAGAATCACTAGCGGAGAGATCACGAGGAGAAGAATCACTAGCGGAGAGATCACGAAAAAGAAGAATCACTAGCGGAGAGATCACAAGGAGAAGGATAACTACCGGAGAGTTTACGAGGGGTAAATCACTACGGTGAGAACACGAGGAGAAGAATCACTAGCGGAGAGATCACGAGGAGTAAAATCACAAGCGGTGAGATCACGAGGAGAAGAATCACTTGCGGAGAGATCAGGAGGAGTAAAATCACAAGCAGTGAGATCACGAGGAGAAGAATCACTAGCGGAGAGATCACGAGGAGAAGAATCACTAGCAGAGAGGTCACGAGGAGAAGAATCACTAGCGGAGAGATCACGAGGAGAAGAATCACTAGCGGAGAGATCACGAGGAGAAGAATCACTAGCGGAGTGATCACGAGGAGAATCACTAGCGGTGAGATCACGAGGAGAAGAATCACTAGCGGAGAGATCACGAGGAGAAGAATCACTAGCGGAGAGATCACGAGGAGAAGAATCACTAGCGGAGAGATCACAAGAAGGATCGCTAGCGAAATATGATTATTGTCAACTTTCAAATCTTCGTTGGTTCGGGTGTAAACCAAATGAGTAAATAAATATTGAATTCAGCTTTGTTGTTGGAACATTAAAAAAACAGCGATTGTACTGGAGGATCCCTTTTGCATGATATAACATTTATATCGCATAAAATTGTTATTTGAAAGTTCCGGATGTGCAGTTCTCCAGATCAAACCTACCAACTAAGTGAACCAACCAAACAAACCAACCCACCAAATCTATTTACCAACATATGATCTAGGATCATAAGTTTACTACCATGTGGATATAACTTCTACTTACACCTTAACCGTACGTGTTCCAATTTGATGTAAATTAATTCTATTCTTTTTTCCATTTGCACAATTCAGCAAATCTATCATAATACTCTTTCGGTGAGATGCTGAGAGTTAATAAAGGAATCACAGGCAGTGGTATCATTAGCAAAGGGTTTCTTGAGAAGGGAGAAATTGCAGAGGAATTGCTAGCAGAAGGATCACCAGCAGACTGGCATCAAAATGTTAGGAAATGGATTAATTATTAGAAAAAGATTACAAGCAGTGGAATTACTAGCAGAAGGGTCACTTGCTGAGAGATCAGCAGCAAAGAGATTACTAGTGAAAAGATTACTAGCAGTGGAGTTGCCTAGCAGAAGGAAGGCAAAAAGATTAATAGAGAAGGAGTTACTAGCAAAGGAAATACTAGTTACTTTAGATATCACTAATGTAGGGATTTTACATTTTTAGACAGTTAAGGGCACATATCAGGTTCAAATGCATTCAATAATTGTTAAATTGCCCACTCTGAGGTGGGTAATGTGGGTTAATGCATAAAAAGGTACTTCAATGAACAATCAATTTAAAATGTAGCAGAATAATAGCATTGCTACAAATTGCCTTTGTTAAAATCTAGCCTGGGCACGGCAAAAATTATCACAGGTTTCCAGATAAAGAAAAATTTATTCCACCTTAACTAGATGAGCAGGTGATCGGCATATGTATTTGGTATATGGTATATATTCTGGAGGGACTCTTCATGAAGTAGTGCTGCCCATAACATAATAAGAAACTTCACACTTTTTTATACATAATCCTATTAATAACAGTCATAGAACAAACAAGAGTGCAATTGATGCCAAGATCATAGGAGTGATTACAAAATCAACTGACTGCATAGTAGGAGGTTGATTTTCTATTACCACAAGTATGACTTTTTAAAATGTGATCTGTTCTATAATTACATATAATATAATTATCTTTAGCTGTAATAAAAATGGGAGAAAATGCATTTTGTACTGGAGTGCATTCAAAGCTCATTCAATGACTTTTATAATAATGCTTAAATCAAGCTTCTCTGAAGTAATAAAATTCATTATTGGCATTTGACTATAAGGGCATTTATCTTTTTGTCATTGAGTATTCATGCACTGTGTTGCAAGGTAGTGAATGACTTCAGCATTTGATACAATTTTGTGGTAAAAACTGTTAGCAAGAAAAATGTAAAAAATTTCAGCAAGAAAAACAGTTGATACCTTGATAACAATGTCCCTTTCAAATGACGAGAACTTGCCATACTCAAATGTAGTTGGTAACCCCTTTGCCTCAAATCATATCTGATATCTATATGTCGATATAGCACAATTATATTGCCAATAGAATTTATAAGCTCTCCCAGCCGGTTTCTCGGTTTCTCGTCCGCTCCTTAGGAATTTAAGAGGACATAACTCATATTTCCTAAAGCGTCCCCTCACATCCCTGTCGTGGGGTTGATATACTTTGTGTAAGCACAAGCGTAAGCAGTATTAAACAGGGCTTCCACTTGCAAGGAAATTTCCCTGCAAAAGGAAATTTTGGCTTTTTCAAGGAAAAAGGCAAGGAAATAAAATTGAGGAGGAAATGGCCAGGAAATTTTAGCCTGGGCAAGGAAATTGCAAGGAAATCTTAAAAATTGTTTATATTAGACTTAAAATTTAATAAAAAATAATAAGTTTGCAAAGATTTGGTTCTTGAAGTATATAACCATTTTCCTCACTCATACGGGTGTAGGGTTTTGTTTTCTTCCGGGAGGGGGGCTGAAAACTTGGCTAACCAAGGTAAAGACTTCATGTAAGCCGAGCTAAAAGTCTCCCTGCATAAAATGAAGTAGTGGGTGCGGATCGAAACTTCGTATTTCAGAATTGCTTTTCAAGTTGTTTGATATATTATTATATGTTATTATATTCACTAATAAAACTGTTTCATGTGTATATAAGGATGTCTTTTTAGAGATTCAACATTGCTATATGATGCAATTATTACCTAGTAAAATTTTTACCCTAAAATTTCTCGGGGGGTTCTAGCCCTCAGCCCCCTCCCCCCCTCCAATACTCTACGCCTATGTTAACACTATCTATCAAAGTTTCTGTGGGTTAATTTGATAAAAAGTTACCAATTTTTTGGATAATTTTGGAAGTATTTTTGTATATGGAATATATTTCAGATGTATCACTTAAAAAAATATTGTTTATTTTGTCACTGAGAAAAATTTGTTCGATTAAGGCCGCTATTTGCAAGGAATTTGCAAGGAAATTTGGAAGTTTTCGCAAGGAAATATTTTTGGAAAAAAGGATTTTTTAGCATCTCAAAAGGAAATTTGGTAAATCGATTGTGGAAGCACTGGTATTAAAGTGAGCAACGTAATAGCGATTAGCGAATGGCGATTATGTAATGTGTAGTCAAGCAGTCCAGCATTGTGTTATTTGTATATGCTGATAAACTATCGAGAAATTTCTTTATAGGATTACGTTATCACCCAACTAATCAGCACGCGCGTACTATAAAAGTTATATTATAAATAATTCTATTAGACTATGTCATATGATTATAGTACAGCCTCGTTCCAAGGCGCTTTAAATAAAAACGTTAAAATCTCTGGTTAAAATGTTTACTATTTTACGAGCTTTCGGCTGTTAAACTACAGTTTTCAACGGGTGGGGAAAGTGGAAGTGTTATAAGAATGAAGACATTAAAAACTTGTCCTTGGCGCGTTTTCTCGATACCTTGTTGGTATAGCGTTTCCTTCCTCAAAAGGTGTTTTTCAATTTTGAAGTGAGAAATATTATAAACAAAGAGAAATTTCACTAATCTGAGAGTCTGAAAAAGTTTGTAATAAAAAACAACAGATGAATGATTTGATGGTAACCAGGGTTAATCATATTGGAAAATATGGACGTTCTCTGGTTAAAATGTTTACTATTTTACCAGCTTTCGGCTGTTAAACTACATTTTTCAACGGGTGGGGAAAGTGGAAGTGTTATAAGAATGAGCACATGAAGTTTACATTTACAAAGCGGTATGTATGACGTAATGACAGCTATAGAGGCAAAGTTGATAGACCCACTGAGCTATATAATAATTACTATATAGCTCAGTGGATAGACCCACTGAGCTATATAATAATTCCTGGAGGACCGGCTCGTCATTTTTCGGTAACTTCGCCGCCATCTTTTTGTCGAAAAAAACATGGCGGACTTTGCCTTCTGCGCACTGCGCAGAAGTTTTGCTGACGCCATATGGTCCCCTTTGCCCAGGGTAATTACCACTGACCAGGCTCAAATCTGAGCCCGCTACAAGAGATGCTCCCCCTGGTTTATCTAAACAACAGTATTTCCCCCCTGGTTTTTTTATGAATATTTTTTTGCCGTGAAACATGTTGGAAACCTTGTTGTTTTGTATTTTTCGATTTATTTTTGTGTTACAAAGCGTTGCAATAAGGCGTTTATTTCAGTTCTATACAATCGTGGATGCTGTTTTGCCAATGCCAAAGAAAATTAATATTAAAACGAAAAAAAAAAATGTGGACGAAAAATTTTTATGTACGATTAGCTAACAGTGACAGGTTATTAACCGTTATTTTATTTTTTTAGTATTTATTTTCATTATTCATACATTTCTGTATAAAATTTTTGAAAATATTTTTCGAGTCTGGTCAGAAATTTGGATTATCTTTCGGATATCAATCGCCGACTAAAGGTTACCGGCAGAAAATATGTGGTTATGTGATGTTTTCCTTAAAGAATATCATGCTTATGCATATCAGCCCATGCATAACTCAAGGAAACAAAGGCCAAACCTCATGCAAGATGCTTGGCAGCTGATTAGTAATAGTACTTCAAGATATATTCGCATAGGATATTTTCATTTAGGTCATTATAGCTATAAGTTACCCATATCTTACTGTATCCCAAGTATTGCACTTTCAAATAGTTCCCTGCTTGACTCAAGAATTTGAGTGGAATCATATTCCAGATAATGCAAAGAAAGGCTATGGTAAATAACAAAAATTTGATTATATATGGTACCAAGAAGATTATGGTACTAGTTGTGCTATTAAACAAATGTCTCATGAATTCATGATAATGCAACTGAGCCTATTCATTCCTGTATTAGTCTATAATCTATTAACCTTCAATTCCTGATTAGCCCCATGATAATATTCCTTTGAATGGTGGGGAGGGTAAAACTGTCCAGAAAATTATAAAAGTTGCTGCAAATTGAAAACAAACTGCTCAGTCAATGCATGTCTGTATAAATTTATTTTCCATTTAAATAACTATAACTATAACTAACAAAGTCAACATGGTAAAATTAACAGTTTAATGTTCCAGTAATTTGCAAAAAAGTCATCCCCAAATTCAATAGCATCTTCATCCTAAAAAAGAGAGATCAGACCAAGTTTAACTGTACTCTATAAAGTACACCCAGAGGACAGAGCCAGAGGGGAGTAAAAACCATTGCAAATTAACAATCAATCTTGTAGCTTGAATCAAGCTTGTAGCTTGATCAACAAGGTGCAAGATGCCAAGAAGTCTATTAAGCCATGATTATTGACTTTGCATTTGACAAGGCAAACAAGATAACATACTAGACTTTTAACAACCACTGTTGAAATCTGACAGAAAAATATTTTGTATCAGCACTCACACAGTCATCATGTTTAATGTTTTAAATTCATCTACAATAGACTAAAAAGGATCAATAGAGAGACTACGTAGATTCACTGGGAGGATTGAATCATGGCCAGAAATTGCGGACATGGAATATGCAGATTGCCGTAGCAAATTTGCATATCTGTTCAAATATTATTCGTTTGCAGAACTATAAATTATATTGCGCATTCTTAAATTTCGCAAAATTTACGAAAATCATTGCATCTTTGCAATTTGCCCTGGTTGTTTCCTGTAATTCGTGTCATATTAAAGATCCTGAGGTAATATTTTGCTGGTAAAGGTTTATGTCGGCTCTGCATTTTTATTTTATTTCTGCGCTATTACGGTTTTCGTTTTATATGGTATTCAACGTGATAAATGACCAAAACTTTGTTTTGAAAATGCAGGACGAATACTGAATAAAACATTTTGAAATACTATATAAAAATATTAAGATTAACTTGCTCTGCAACGAGCAATTAAGGCAAATTATAATCGACCTACCTAAAGGTGTATTTTTAGCGTTTAGTACTGTGCACATTACAGTTTACTATAAACTCACGAAGCTTTATTTTGACACCATATGCAAATTTAGGCGGAAGTAGAATGTTAATTATGTCCGAATTTTCTGGCCATGATTGATTCATCTTAATTGTTTGACTGAAAATACTCATGAATTGGCATTAAATATGAGTGAAAGCTCCAGTGCAAATCCCATAAGAGTTCTATTCAAAAGCCAAAACTCAAAAGATCAGTTATTGATCCTTTTTCATAAAATATAGTTTTTAATAGCGTAACTAAGTCATGTACCATTGATCAAAAAGGCTGCACTCTGCAGCATATTTGCCGTTTTTAACATTAATTTCAAAATAAATAACTGCAACAGACGCTTTGGTAGTTGTCTATACCAAAGGCGAAAAACGAAAATATTATGAAAACTGGCTTACCTGAGGTAAAAATTAATCTCCCGATAGGTGAATTAGGCCATTCACAGCATCATATGTAGAGCAAGAAATCACTTCTCCATTTAACTTGTTGAACAGGGAAAAAGAGTCTTTTTAGATGAAATGCGGAGAAAATATATGCCGAAAACAATACCGAAAACCGAAAATATATTTTCATAAAAATCGGGAGGGTGATGGACACGTTTTTAACTTTGTATCGCGGTATGTCAGTGGTAATTACCATGGGCAAAGGGGACCATGTGGCGTCAGCAAAGCTCAAAATCCGCCATCTTTTCTGGTACGCTTTTTGGTGGCGAGCCGGTCCTCCAGGAATTATTATATAGCTCAGTGGGATAGACCACACCAATTGCGAAACTTAGTGACCGCGCCTTCGTGCAACATGGAAACGAGGCTTATTATGCAAAAAACAATATTTGTATTTTTTGCAGTACAAAGCTATTCGCCGAGTTATATGCCGTTTTTCGCCTTTGTTTTGAATATTTTTCGATACCTTTCAGCTTAGTTTCATCGTTGTTATCATAGTTTTCAGGTTAGGAAGTTTTGCCTTTCAATTGAGGCGTTTTTGTGGTGTTTTCATTAATCTTTTCGGCTGCTTTCGTCGGGACAGTGTGGAAAAGGCTGACACAAACTCAGGTAAAAATTTAGTTTTTCCAAACTATTTCGTCTCAAGTTTTGAAAATTTATTTCATTTTTCTCCCTCTTATTTGTGCAAAATTAGGCGATATATATTTGGTGCGAATTCTATGTTT